TGTGGATGATTTGTTTTCTAACTTTGTATTAGAGAAGACGAGAATCACCAAAAGAAAAAAAAAATTTGCTTGCGTTATGAACTTCTTGATTGGGTTTTTTCTTCTTCTTTTTATGGCTAAGAAGGTCTGTTGATTACTTGATTTCCCCATGTTTTTTCGATCCTTGTTTTATATTATATTTTAGTTTTTAGAAATTAAGAAAAGAAAAAAATGAGTAGTTATTTTCCATAAAAGTCGGATCCATTATCTGATTTTGTTTTTAAATTTAATTTTTTAATTGTGAATTTACCATATTATCCTCATGTAATTAATAATTTCAATTCTTAATGTTTGAATTAACCAAGGGCATTTTCTGGTATTTTGAATGTTTCACAATTCTCTGCCTTTTGCTTTATATATATAGATTATATAATTAATAAATAATAATTGACTTTACTTAATCTTCAATACGTTTCTTGAGATTGAGAATATTAAAAGTGATTGAAGATTGATTTGGCTTCCTCTTTGGTACAGGTACGGTTTGGATTCTCCTTTTTATTTCTTTTATTATTATTTTGTTTTTTATATACACATATACATAGGCTTAAAAAAAAAAATTAGGCCCCTCCTCAGCTTTGGGCCCCGGGCTGTAGCCCTGGTAGCCCTGGGCCAAGGCCGGCTCTGTGTTTGTCACAAAGTCATGGGGTTCATAAGTGATGGGGTTTTCTAAAATGGTGGTTTTTTGTTGTTGGAAAATTCGGGTTTGTGGGGGTGTGAATATAAAATGTATGTGTGATTGGTTTAGGTTAGTGAGGATAATTTAGGAAGAAGTGATGGGTGTAGAGAATAAATTTAAATCTAACTAAAATTTTATGCGGGTGTTGCTTAATTTTTATAATAGAAATGATTCTTGAAGAAGCGCCAATAAAATCGATGGTGACAAATTATTATGTCAAACAAAGTAGGGCAAATATTCAGATATGCTCACCTCTGCTCATATCTGCTCATATCTTTATTCTTCTCCAATATGGAAGTATTTATAAGGAAGTACAACCCTAAATAAAATAAGAAATACATCCAAATTACAATAGGAAATAAATCTCAATTATAATAGGATTAGATAAATGAGTAAGTAACCAAAATCCTAACTAAGTATGGACTTGCCAACACTCCCCCTTAAGTTGGGGCAAAGATATTTCGCATGCCCAACTTGACAAGCGAGTCATAGAACACCATACTCAACATTGACTAATCGAACAACTATAGCGAAGGCCTTGTCATAAACCACAAGTGAAACAATTGAAAAACCCTAACAAATAGGGCACATAGAAGAACACATAAAAGCTGAACACTTAAATCGTGTGAACACGAAAGTAGGTAAGGCAGAACACAGAAACCCTGTGAGCAAGGCAATAAGTAAGGTAGAACACGACAGTAGGTGAAATTCCTAGGACATGTAATTTCCGAGTATGGTGTTGCAGTAGATTCTTCTAAAGTGGAGGCGGTACTAAATTGGCTTCCACACAAAAATATCATAGAAATACAAAGTTTTCTAGGATTGGCAGGGTACTACCGAAGATTCATAAAGGATTTCTCCCGATTTAGCTGCACTAATGACCAAGTTGACTCGAAAGGAAGTGAAGTTTAATTGGACAGATGAGTGTGAGAAGTCCTTTCAGGAATTAAAAACTCGATTGACCACTGCCCGATACTTGTCATTCCCAAAAGAGAGGTAGGCTATGAAGTGTACACTGATGCATCATTGCATGGATTGGGAGGAGTTCTAATGCAATTAGACAGAGTTGTGGCGTACACATCCAGGCAATTAAAAGCTCATGAGAGGAACTACCCCAACTACGACCTGGAATTAGCAGCAATTATTCATGCTTTGAAGGAGTGGCGACATTACTTATATGGTGAGCGATTTGAATTATATTCTGATTATAATAGTCTCAAGTACTTTTTTACTCAAAAGGAACTTAACTTGAGACAGCGGAGATGGATGGAATTTTTGGAGGATTATGATTTTGGGTTGCATTATCATTCGGGGAAAGCAAATGTGATAGCAGATGCTTTAAGCAGAAAGGCTCAAGGTCTCGTGGCAAGTCTAAAAATGCAAAAGGAAAAGATGATGGAGACTATTTGTGACTATGATCTACTTGTGACTACATGTGATAATGGAATTTGTTTGTATAACTTGATAATACAACCCACTCTGAAGGAGAAAGTGATTGAAATGCAACGAGATGATTAGACTATATCACTTTTAATCTTGGTGTTTATATATAGTACTAAATATGAATATCTTGTTGTTTTGCTTGGTGGATATTGTTAAGTGAATACTATTGTTTTGTTTTATGAATGTTTATTGAGTATTATGTGATGTTGGATGAATATTACTATCCGTGTGATTAAATTTGAAATATTATTATTTTTATTTGAATTATTATCATTCCACAAAGATTAATGAACGTTTGAGACATCCAAGCTTGATACCTTAAAGTATGAATTAGTGGGTTTAGAAGGGAGTGAGTTTATGACATCATTGCAAATGCATAGCACATTTTATTTGGTAATTGTTTAATGCATGTCACTTTGATAAGCGGTGATAGCTGGCTTTGAGTGTGGGATGTTACAGTACTCTACTGGGCATTAAAATGCTCACACCCTAATAGATGATGTAGGTCCCAATGCAAATCCTGAGGAAGGAGAAGTTTCACCAGAGGACTAGATCAGTGTTGTTAGTTACCGTTTGTAAAATTATTAAGGAATAAATTATTGGAATATTACTCTAGTATGTGTAACTAACTTTGAGTTACCGCGACTCTAACTTTGTATTTATTAAATAAGTTTGTTAGGCTTTATTTGTATCATATCATAGTTATAGGAGCTTGTTTCTATAACTATGGTATGATTCATGCCTTAATTAGGAGGTAATCCCTATTTTCGAATCGGGGCGTAACAGACCTGCCCAACGCCACAGTCATGGTTTTGGACACAAGCACTACATTCCCTTTTCGGACATAAGAGATGTCCGATGTTACAACCACATTTCGGATAGAAAATGTTTGAAATTACAATCAAAACTAACTGAAGTGGATTAATAACCAATCTAAAAGATTGTTAATTACAGTTCATCTAACAAACAAGCAATTTGAGCTTTGGCTCGGAAACAATTCAAACAACTTCATTTCTACAGGTGGCGCGCACTGATTTCCAGCAAAGCAATAAAGAAGTCTGCTTCGACAGAGAATATTCAATCTCTGACATGTAAAGAACGGTTAAAAACTCAGAGCTGGCCCATTATGACGCCACCTGCAGAATAGTCCTAAAGTTCGAGATTGAAGAGCACCTCCTCTGATCAACTTGAAAGGCATGCGCGCATTATCTTGTGAATTCTCTATGGTTTGAAGTAGTAGAGCCCATCAAGTCATCCTTTTTCCTTGATATCAAAGGATCCAACAGTGAATCAATCAAACTTATTTTGAACAGCCTTCAAAATACGCTTACTCTCGACAACCTCGAAGTAACTCAGACTCAAACTCTTGCAAAGTGTCTCACAGTAGACCAAAGCCAAGTCTTGAATCAAATGCTCCCCGTGTCTTTGAGTTCCCAGTTGACAACTCCTTATTGGAATTGCATTGCTATTGTTTGTAACCTATATGCTGTGCCAGCATCGCTTGGTATGATTTGATAGTTGTTCTCGATTTCCAGCTTACTTAAATCAAAACTCTTATTTGTGGTTCGTGCAAGTTCTGACTGCAGATATTTTGACAAACTCTCATCAGATATACCTTCTGCACTTTCTCAAGTAGATTGCAGTTATGTCCGATGGAATTTGTTTCTGTCTGATGAGGCTCCTGTAGTTTTGTTGGAACCAGCTTTACTTTTATTTGTACTCATTACCAAGTATCTGTTGGATATATAATTGCTTTTTGATATTATGTCATCCATCGGACACTTTTCATGCAAGGTTTGTTATTATACCCTTTGTCTGATGCCAGTCTAAAATCATCATCCATCTTGCATTTTATTCCATAAAAGGTGAAATATTAAAGTCCTCTTCATTGTGGCATAAAAAAGAACCTATCTAAAGCCAGATTCCCCTCTTTAGTGCACAATGATTTTGATTAGAAGATAAGAAAACAAGGGCGCAACACTTTAATAGGCTTAATCTTCACCTCACTACCTCTTTCTACTAGGAGAGTGTCATTAGTAGTGGCACGCTGTTGTGAAATTTATCCCAAAAACTTGTTGTGAAATTTATTGCAAGCGCACAATCCGCACAAGTAATACAGTGATAAGTGAAATGTCGTTCCCACGAAGAGTGATTTAAGTACCAATTGTGATTAACCCAAGACTTTATTTGAACAATTGAATGATGAGATTTGGTTGATTAATTAACTAAAACAACGAATAAAAGCAAGCATAGAAAAACAAAGTAGTAAGATTCAAGTTATGACAGCACTAGAGTTCCGATTTCACCATAGCCAATTCTACCCAATTTCCTTAGCATGTTAATCCTAATTATTCTCCACGTTGACAGTCGATTTTCCCTACTTTATTCGATACTCCATCCCTGGTTATACCAAAAGCATTCTTATTACCAACCCACTCTATCCCTAGTGATGGAATTAAGATAATAAGAACTCATTAAACTCCTTGAAAAATCTGCAAAACAACCACATAAGTCATGACGAACATCCCTGTGTAATCATGTAACTTATGGCGTCTATTACAAGAAGCAACCCTAAATTGGATATCCCTATCGTCAATTTAGCATCAAAACAATTAAATGTTGGCCAACCATTCAAAGCATTAAGCATGGTAATAGATACTCAACATGGAAAAATACTTGGAATTAACATTGACTAAAGTAATTGAGTATTCATGGCTAGGCTACATCTTAGCCCTAGCAAAAGAAATTAGTTCATGACAACTTTAATAAAAACCATGATAAACAGTGTCATAGGAAAGAAAAAACCAATTGAAGATTTAATCTCTGCACAGCAGCAACTCTAGCTCCAGGTCTTGTCTTCTTCTCTCTAAAACTCTCTCTCATGCCTTTGTAGTCTATGGTCTCCCAATAATCCTCCGAACTCCCCGGGCTTTAGGTTAAAGCTCAGTATTTATAGGCCAAAGGAGTTCTCCAAAAGAGAAAGAAGAATAATAATTAATTAGGAGTTAGATGAATAATAGGAAAGCCAAAAGGCAAAACCCAAACAGAGGAGGAAAAAAAGAATAGAGTACGGCTAAGGCAGACTTGGGAATTATCCAAGTCAAAATAGGAAATTGCTTTGTGGAGAGATGGGTGCGGCTGAGACTTTGAAAATAAGGATTTCCAAGTCAAAATAGGGAAACTCATATTGGGCTGTTTTGGGGCAGAGAATATAGGGAAAAGCCGCAGTTGTAGTTGGAGAAAAATTCTTCCAACTTGAAGAAGGAAACCAGCCTTGTGACAGCTCAACAAATGACGACAACTCCTCCAATTTCAGCAAATGATTGATGGCAGCTTCTTCCCAAAAGTGAACAGCAAATGCAAAGCCGCAAAATGCTTTCTAATATTTCCAGCGACACTTGTCTAGGCCAGGCTTGTGTGCTTCATCAAAGTAATCAAGGGATTCTTCTTCAAAGCCTATTGCAATACAAAGGTACTGACCCTTTTTTCTCAATAATTGTTCACAAGATGCACAGCCTTGCTAAACCTCAGCAAATGCAGATGGGTTTTGACACCAAAGCTCGACAAATGCACAAGGCATAACCTAGCACCTCCATCAGCTTCATACCTTTCAGCTCCAAAAAATGTTGGTAAGTTTCTCCAACTCTATCTTTCTGGCGCTGGTCATTGAGACCAGTTGTGGGTATAAATTGACACTTGCACAGATACACTCCAGGTGTTTGATAAAATGACAGAATGAGTTGCTGAGATTTTGTTGAGTTGATAATTCTATCCATTTTGGTCCCTTAGGCTTCAAAAAACATAGTTTTAGCTCCAGAGTCTTGCTAGGAACGAAGGCCTACAAAATCTTCACTAAACACATTAAACTAACCAATTACACATGAAAACAATGCAAAATAGAGATAGATTATATATGCAAAATATTAATCTATCACACGCCTATCGCAATTCACCAGAGAGCAACTTTCAAGCCCACTTCAGGGCTTGGATCTCTCTCGCATCACTTCCTTCACAAATAAGCAACCGCTAGTTGCTAACGTACATGTTGCTAGCGGCCAAAGGCATCGTGGTGTTCAAAACTTGACGAACAACCACACAATATTATGCACTATATTAAACTGTTCGAATTGGAAAACTTATTAATAGAATTCATACTTTTTGTTTACACCCAAAATAAACGGCCAATAAGAGCAGGACACGTGGAGGAAACTGGGCTTGGTCAGAGGCGCCCTCGGCACTCTACCTACCGATCTCTCCATTAGGGCGACGCCCTCTCCTGGGACACGTGGCACGCTTCCAAGCGACGTCCACAGTCCCACATCGAAATTATCAACAAAATGCACACCTCCCAAGGCCTATAAAAGGAGGCCAACTATCCCAAAATGGAGGTAATCAGAACTAACGGCATACAAGCCTATTGATCTGTCAGTTGAACTTTCTATTCCCGTACTTACTTAAGCATTGGAGAGCCTTCGGCCGGTACCACACCGGTGCCCTAGGTCTTACCGTGCGTTTGCTCATATTGCAGATCACGATTGACTACCGAGGCATCAAAGATACCGAAGGCATAAAATTACTAAGTTGACCCTCAAAGTCAGAGAACCACTTTTTGGCGTCAACACTTTTAGTAGGCTAGAGAGTGTAACAACTAAATTTTATTCATCTGTAATGACAAGCTAAGGGCAACAAAGGATAAAATAAAATCAGTTATCTATTATGTATTTGACAATAAAGTTCAATAAGAAATCCAAGAACCTTGAGATGATCGTAATTTAAATCTATTATTTACGTAAAGTTGTTGCGTACGTCAAGATTGACAACAAGTTTTCATTATAAAACCTAAAAAAATAAAAATTACACAAGAGTGAGCTGATGCAGCATTTCTTAATCATGAATGGAGTCGATTCTTTTCATGCACTTGGCCTTTTCATCTACTGTTGTTATATTGAGTAATTAACCTCTCTATCCGTCTCCAAGATTCTAGCTGGTATTTGATTTGCTTCACTTTGGCTTCTCATGAGGAGCCATAAACTTATCGAAAATAACATTTGTTTTTATTTTTCAGATAATCTCCGTGTTGTTAAAAAGTTCGGACAAATACATCTTACAAATGAAGTCGAGGGAAATTTTATGAGTTCGAAACTCCCAAATACAAGCACCCAATGAATATTTGTGTATAAATTCCCCCAAATCACTTGTACTAAACGTAAAAATAAAACAATATGGGAAAATTTTATATGAGTTTAAATGGCATGAAAAACATTGTTCATCAACGAAAATCAATACATAAACTCAAGGCCAAGCGCAAAGCCCACCATTAACCCTAGGTCCAGATTGTAGACCATCTTTCATTCTGACAGAAGCTTCGTCTCTGCTTCTAATTGTTTGAAAATAATGTTTTTCTCATTTGATAACTTATTTGAGATACGTACGGTCCTCCTTTAGACAGATGTTTCGTCAAACTATATACATTTATTTATTTTATATAAAGATGCACAGCTACCCTACCTGCATCCAATTTGGTGGGCCGGAATAACTCGTGATGAGTTGACCAAAAAAATTGTTAATCAAAAGAATAACTCGTGATTAGATTCCTAAATCATATTCCCCTTGTTAGTTAAAACAAGTAAAAGATTCTATTTTGGCACTAATAATAAAACAAATATATATACACAATTTTCCTTATTGTAACTAAAGTGCACACATCCTTCTTAGGTTATCTTTGCAAAAAAATCGTTAAGATATGAAGTTATTTGGTCATTTAAAATGTAAAAAATGACGTAGTTTGTTACATGAAATTTATAAAAAAATGTGGATAATCAAACGGCTAAACAATTTATAACTTAGCTGATTTTTTACATGAACAATTCTTAAAAAAGAACTTAAAAACTGAATCGTTCGGATCATTAATTTACATCGCAGAAATAGAATTAATGGTATTATTATAAGGAAATAAGGACTATATATGGTGGAAGGCATGCACCATGACTTCATGTTAGCAAGTAATAAAACAAACATTTATTTCAAGGCATGCAAGATGACTTGAGAAGTTGATAGCAATGTGCTGGTATGGTAGACCAAACCTCCCAAACAAAAGAAAGAAAGAAAGTCTTGGCAGTTGGCATGTGTTTTATGTGCAAAAACTTGGACTTCTCTACTTCAGTCGGCATATTCGCATATTGATCTATGAGCCAATGCCAAGCAGCCACCGTGGCCTGCACGCCATGGATCATTGGAATATTCTCCATTATCTTATTATGCCAGTCAAGTTGGAAAAACTGTTCAAAATTAGACAGAAATGCATGTTCAATTCTGAAAGCACCTTAAACCCATGTTTTAAATTATTTCCACATGTGTCCACGAATATTGGCCCTACCAGAAATTCTCACACTGCTAATTTGGACGGCTTCACGATGTCCACATGAATCCTATTTCATGGGAGTTTATTTACTTGTTTTATTTTTTTATGTTTGGGTCAACTGGGGAGTTTCTTTGTTGGGGATTCTTTAATAAATATTTTATATTAAGGATTGATTACGTATTTTTTAATTTCTCGACTGTTGAATTGCATGTATATTGCATATTAAATCTACCTACACATCTAATTTATCGCCCATAATTATCGGAGCCATTCTCAAAATCTAAGTCATCACTTCCCATTTTCTGCTGGCTGCAGGTCTCATCTTTTAAACTTTACCATCAAATTTTTTGGTAGTAAGATTTTTTAAGCATAAAATAATTGTCAATGGGAACTTGGTTTAGCGACCATTAGCCTCCATTTTGTAATAAGAAGACATTTTCCTACGGTTGAAAAAAAAAGTAAGCAAACGGAATAGTCAATCAATCATTTGGCTGCAATTATTCTTTTGGGTTCAAAGACGTGGTTGCTAGATGAGTAAGTCTGCAGGAGCAAAAGATCTTATAGTTGGAGTTCTGTACAGTGATGAATAGGTTAATAAAAAAAGGTATATAGAAGCAAACTTCATTTTTTTTTTTTTGATGAAAGCAAACTTCATTTTGACAACTTATTTTAAAATTATTTTCTTTTTTTCATTTTGAGGAACAAACGATTTTCTTTTAACATTAAGTTGCAGAAATTGCATCACCATATCTTTCATAATAATAATCTAATCATAAAAACCGTACATATTCTGGATGATGCTAATACCAAAGAAGAACACCCACCATCTTGTTACATGGCAAAATTAAACTCTGTGATACATGAAAAGGAAAGCAAAGAAACTATAAAGGGGAAAGAAAAAAGAGCCCTTAAGCATATATAATAATACCCCAAAGTTCATTACGTTGATCTTCATCAAATTCTTGCATATTATTCAACCATGCATCGGGGGAGATTTGGTAACCTGGACGGCTTGAACTCCGCGGCGTTGAATGGCCAAAGCTTTGAGCTGCTCGAGATCCCCGGCGGCTACATGATCTAGTTTGGTGGTTTGGAGGGGAAGAACAACTGGTTTGTTGGCGGCCTGTGGAGCGGTGCGAGGGTAAAAGAAATCAGTGGGAAAGAAGTTGTATTGAAGACCCGCCATGGAAAAGTAGGGAGAAGAAAGGAGTGTATTTAATAACTACTGAGAGATGTTGGTTTGGTGGACTTTGGCAGAGAGACTATCACATGCTCTGGTACCTAATACTTTGGTTTGATTTATATACTGCAGGGGCTTTGCTGTTTATATAGGGAAAACAAAAAGATAACGAAATGAGGGACGAAACTAATTTTTTTTTTGTTGTTGAAGAAAACAAAAAATAAGGGATGGGCTGAGGGCTATGGACGCCAGTTGTTATGACATTTGGGTTAGGTGGGCTTAAGCCCAGCTAGGTATATATAAATAAAAGTACTCCATGCATGCATGATTGACGGTAGTTATTTTGTATAGTTGACCTTAGGAGTTCATCTATCTATATATATAAAGCAAAAGGCAGAGAATGGTGAAACATTTAAACTACCAGAAAATGCCATTGGTTAATGCAAACATTAAGAATTGAAATTATTAATTAAATGAGGATAATATGATAAATGCACACTTTTTCATATTAAAAAAATAAAAAATTAAAAGAAAAATCAGATAATGAATCCTATTTTTATGGAACACAACTACTTATTTTCTTTTTTTAATTCTAAAATAAAATATTTTTTTTTTTTAAAAGTCCCTCACAGGCGTGAAAGTGTGTGCGAAGAGGCTAGTTACTATTATTTTTGAGTTCCCACAATGCAATCTTATATATATTCCCACCCAGCCAGAAGAGTACATATCAGAATTTTACCCTAATTAATTTTTTGATATGGTATTCATGTGTTGGACTTGAATTACTTGGGCTCGAAATCCTAAATCTCTCCCAATACATAGTGTTCAAGACGCGTTGGAATGAAATTGGCTTGCATACTATGTGTTACAGAGAGCACCACATGACCAGAAAGCATGGCAAGCACCTACCTGTAGTTGCAGCTCTATATATAAGCAATGAATTTTTAAGAATGTTAGCTACAGTGGCGGATCCAGGATTCGAAATCCAGCTGGGCGAAACTTACATTAAAAACTCGACGTTATGAGTGAATCTCATTAATAAACATAAAAATATACACCTAGTAGGAGGACATAATGAGCCTTACCATCAAATGCATTTCTATATATAAATAAAAGTTTAGCAACAAAGAAAAAACTAATCTTTTTCTTAAAACAAAAAAATTCCAACAAATTCTTTGTTTTCTTGGGGTTCGGATTGTGATCCGCCATAACAAAAGATAAACTATTTAATCCAACATCCCAAAAAAAAAATCAAATAAATTCTCATAATAACATCAATGCCTTTAATCAAACATTAACATATCAAGAACAAATCAAACATCTCAACAATACCAATATCAAATCAAACATCTCAACAAAATTCCAAAAATCAAAGACCTTATT